CTACCGAGATGATTTATTCCGGTTATATGAGTTAATTAATGAAATTTGTCTTGCCAACATATTCTGTCCGGTTGAAGCTACTCAGCTCTAGGACCGTGCAAACACTTGGTAAAACTAGATCTTTTTCATTAATTAAATAGAAAAGTACAAAATGAGGGGCAGAGAGCCCGGTTACATGTGCAAAGCAAAAAATGAAAGAAAACTACACAAGGGGGGAAAGATTGGAGAATTCGTTATCAGCTGCTTCCAGGTCGACCGTTGTTCGCTCCTGGACATCGGTCTCAGTTTCTCCGGGCTGCTCCTGGCCGCTTCCCTCATCGGCATTGACCTTGGTTTCTTTGGCAAACTCTTCCTCGGCCTCAGCTTGCAACGCGTTGAAGACGTCGTTGGCATAGGGCACGAGGTAGACCGGTAGGAAGGCAGCCGGGGGAGCGGCAAACACATCGGTGTCAGGACCTTGACCGAGATGTTCGCAGGCTGACTTCCAGCCCGCTTTGAAATAAATGTCTTAAGTTGCGAAGACCTGCTTCTTGTAGCTGTCCTCGGCTTCCTTGAAGCCGGCGTTGTTGGCATCTTCGCACTCCTTCTCCTTTAACGCCTTGAGTGCGTCCAGCTCGGCCTGGAGCTCATCTCTCTTCTTCTCGGCCTCCTCAAGCTGGCCGAGCAACCTGTTGTTGTCAGCATTGGCAATTTGAAGTGAGGACTTTGCTCGGCCGAGCTCGGTCTACAGACTTTGGACTTGGCCGGCAGTGTCATTCGCCTTCTGCCGCAATCGATGGATTCGCTCCATGACCAAGTGTTGCTTCTGAATGGCCTGCAAGAAGAAAGTCTGATCAGAGAAGAAACCGTGCAAACACTTGGTAAAAATTTTAGAGAAGATTGAGACTTACCTTGGCCATGGACTTAACAAAAGATTTCACCAACCAGGTGTCAAGAACGTGGTCGCTGCCGACCACGTCGCTCGGTAGGAGAAGGGCTTTGGAAAGGTCAAAGGCGAGCAGGTGCTCTTTGTCGCCTTTTATGGAAGCGGTACCTGGTATGTCCTTTCCCCGGTGCTTCAACTGCGGTCGCCACGGTGGTGTTGGGTCGACAGTGACGGTGGGTTGCTCGGTGGTTAGCTCGGCAACCAGCTCGGCGGATGGGTCTGCGCGAGGCCTTTTGCCAGCCCGGCGAGCTTCTTGTCTGGGTTACCCGGCACCTGGAGATGCCAAGGCAACCACAGGCCGCTGGATTGTCCGGCAGCTTGAGAGTGTGTGGTGATGCTCGGTATCTCAGCTAAGGTGGCTATTAGGAGGTTCTTGATGCGGCTTCATTTTGCCATCTCTTGTTCTTCGGTCAGCCGGATTAGTGGCACGTCGGTAGAGTTGGGTTCGGAGGAGGTGTTGGAGCACGGAGAAAATCTGTAACTTTGCTCCGGCGTGGAGCTGAGTACCTGTAGGTTGGAGTGCAGCCGAGCAACTCGTTACAATCCCGGTGGCTGTAACAGAGCACGGTTCGGATGGCTTCAACGTTGGGATATTGGTAGTTGGATTGCAAGGCTTGAATTGCTGCAAAAGAAACAGGAAAAATAGTAAGTACAGAATGTTGAAGGCAGGGACTTAACCGAGCAAATTAGCGCGGCTTACATGTGGAACCAAAGTTCTTGCTGATGAACCAGCTCGGTACGTCGGTTGTTTCATAATTGCCAGACACCTAGAAGAAGTCGTCATCATGTAAGTCCTTGTCCGGGGTGCCGGTTACTATCTTCTCTTTACCCGGTCTTATTTTTAAATAATAGGTCAGGCCGTCGCCGGTGTGCCCAAGGGTGTATTGTCGAAGTATCTCGGCTAAACCTAAGTTTGTTCCTAGCTGGTTGTTTAGCTCGTGCACGCCATTGATTATTCGGTAGGTGTTGGTCGAAACTTGGGTGGGTGCTAGCCCGGTGCGGCGCAGAAATTCGGTCATCAGAGGGTTGACTGGGAAACGAAGGCCTCCTTCAATTACTGGCAGCAGGTGTGTCCACAAGGAAGCGAAATTTCCCCATGTTTGACTGACTAATCTAGCTCGGCTGAGGTGGTTTGGCACAGGCTGGGAATTAATGGCTGCTCGGTCCTTGAGAGCCTCAGGATTGGTCTTTGGTCCCCTTGGACTCTGCAGGAAAACGGAGGGTAATTGTAAGTGGGAGCACGGTCGCGCAAAACGAGCTAGAGTTGAGTTCGGTCGTGGATTGTGCCAAACCACCTCGATCGTAAATGTGAGTCAAGGAGCTTAGTCGCCCGAGCGAACCAGAGATTAGCCCGGTCGAGCGGCCAAGTCCTTTTTGCTACCCCGGTTTCTCCTAAGGTTAGGACAAACTAAAGATTTGCTCGGTCTGAGTGATTTTTTGGATCGAATGAAGATCTGGAGCCCGGTCCGCCCCAAATCTTCATTGTTCATCAGGGAAATTGAAGAACGGTGAAGAAACTAACGGGCATTGAAGGTTTTGGGTGGGGGAGGCCCTAAACCTACGAATTTCGTGCTATAAAGAAGAAAAATATGAAACGAAAACAGTAATAACAAGGGTTCGGAAAGCTTACCAGGAGAGGGCAAAGTCGTCTTCTTCGAAGACGAACTCAGCAATGGCAAGCAAGCGTAGGCAGAAGCTCTAGATCGACAAGGAGGAGAGAGAGTCAGTAAGTTTGAAATGAAAGAAGGTTCAATATGTTTATAGAGATGAATAAGACCGCCAAAAATTTGAATCTGAACGGACGTGATGTTTGGCTGCTCGAGGCCAATCAACCCACGACACGCGTCCCTATTGACGGCGGCGTCAGTACTGAAGAGACAGGATGGTGAATCGAGGCATCGACCGGGCAAGTTTTGAAGAGAGGCATGTCAAGTAGCCTGGTCACCGTATTGCAAACCGAGGACCGAGGAAGTGTTACCCCGGTCAGATTTGGTAATCTCGGTCACGCTTGTGCGGACGAAATTAAGGGGCAATTGAGAGGGAGAATTATGAGCCGGTTATGGGCCGAGTTAGAGGCCGAGCAAATTGGAGGCCCAACGGTGCATTGGGCCGCGATAACTTTGGATTTGCCCGGAGTTGGGGCTGCTCACAGATGGACCGAGCCACTTGGATTTGCGCAGGTGATAACCGCGCAACTTGCGTTGCTCGGTCGATGGCGCGCACCGTTAGCCCGGTCGAGAAGCTTGTGCCAGAAGCCCGGCTAGATGGCCTTTGGTTGATCGGTACGACCAGTCTGAAGGTCGGCTCCGCCGGAATGCTGCCGAGCATGGCTGGAAAGGATCTCAGTTTTTGGAGCAATTAGGCATGGAACACAGCATGGCCGTCGACAGCCGAGAAGATTCAGCCGGGCTGTCGAGCTCCTAGTAGAGTGGGCTGGCAGTCAGGTTAGGTGATGTTCAGCAAGATTTGTGCTGACAGATGGAATAGCAGAACCACATGTCGAGAGATCACTGGGAGTAGATTTGGGGCACAGAAGGTATATAAGCAAGTCTATGCCCCCCATGCTGTGGAGACGCACATTTGGTAAGAGAAATACTTACACTCCATTCACTCCTCGTTCTCTCTATCCTCAGGTGTGTGCTAACTTGATCGTCGGAGGGGTTTTCCGGCCACACACCGCCAGGTAGCTCACCACTGTTGTGCACGCAGGTGATCGGATAGAAACGGACCTCGGAAGCAAGGAGTGCGGGCTTGCCTGGATATTTGCTCCCCGCACATTATATATTTTGCAAGATGTGAATGATTATATATAATTGGTAATTTGTTAATATACTTGTTATTTGAACAATCATTTTTTGTTACCATAAAACAATTGAAATAGTCATTTTTTTATTGTTTCAATTTTGTTTCATGTTGCAGTGTGAATATTTGCATTGTTATGAATTTAGTTTTTTAAAGGTTAGTTGCATGTTAATTGTAAATTGTAAACATTCACATTGCATTTTGGTATGAGTTTTTTTAATTTTTTTTTGAAAAGTTAGCTGTAGTTTGTTATTTTTTTCATTATACTTGTTGATTGAACAATTATTTTTATTATCATTGAACAATCGAAATAGTCAATTTTTACTCTTTTTTTAATTTTATTTTGTGTTTTCACGTTGTAGTATAAATGTTCACATTGATATATATATATATATATATACTAATTGTATATTAATTGTAAATTATGAACATTCACATTGTATTTTGATATAAGTTTTATTTTTTTGAAAGCTAATTGTGCGTTTGTTGTTTTTGTTACTATGCTTGTTAGTTGAACAATCATTTTTGTTACCATTAAACAATTAAAATGATCGATTTTCACTTTTTTTTAATTTTATTTTTTGTTTTCACATTGCGACATAAATGTTTGCATTGGTATAAGTTTTTTAATTATTTGTTAATTATAAATTGTGAATATTCACATTATATTTTGGTATGAATCTTATTTTTTTGAAAGTTAGTTGTATGTTTGTTGTTTATTGTGAACATTCACATTGTACTTTAGTATGTGTCTTGTTTTTTCAAAAGTTAATTGTATATTTGTTGTTTGCTGTGAACATTCACATTGTATTTTAATTTTTATTCAGATTTTGTTTTGCATTATTTTTAAAATTTTCAAATCATAAAAATCGTCAAAATTCATAATTTGAGATTTTCTCCGTAAAATGCGAGAGAGATTTTCTTCTTAGAATAAAGGAAAGATTTTCTCCATGAAGTAAAAAAAAGATTTTCTTTTTAGAATGAGTGAGATTTTCTCCAAAAAATGAAGGACTATTGTCATGTATTAGTTTCAAAATAGAAATATATGTAAAAAATTAGAAATGATAATATGGTCGTATTACATTAAATAAGACTTAATAGAATACTTAAAAAAAAAATATGAGTTAGATGGAATAAAACACTTAAAAAAAGAGGACTTATCAAAAAAATGAACCAAGTCAATTAATTCATAAGATATTCTTATATTACAATAAGTCCTATTATTTTGGACATTTAATCTACTAAATTCTAATTGTCATATTTAAGGTATTTTATAAAAAAATTTACCCTTATAAATATTAATAACTTGGTGATGTGAACATTCATACTAAATAAATTTAACAATATGAATATTTACATTGACAATGTGAATATTCACAACATTAAATATTCACACTGTCAATATGGATATTAATGCGCGGCATCACCCTATTATTATTAGAGACATTTTAGTTACTATGCCACCCACAAAATTTATTGAAACATAAAACAATAATTCAAACTAAATTAAACCTAAGTAGGTAAACAAATATTTATGAATAAATACCCCTTAATTTAATTATGTCACTTAAGCAACCAAAAAGTTACTTATTTCCACGAGGCGGTGGCTAATCAAGAAAATCATCGTACAGTCTCCAAAAGTTATTAAGTTCAAATAGGTAGTGGCTTTATTATTTGGGAGCAGCTTGCCTTCGATCCTTAAGCAAGTTGGATGGTTCTATTCGGTTTGTAGAGGTCCATTACGGATCCCGTTTTAATAATTCGAACCGTTCAATGTATAAAACTCGTCAAGTACTATATGCTTGTAAAAAATTACATTAATCGGATATCGATAGCTATCTCATCTTATCAGTTTTTTATCAACTGTTAATTTGTTCACTGTCAACCGATTTGATCACATAGCTATCGATATCTGATCAACGTGATTTTTATAAGTATATAATACTCGACGAGTTCTACACATTACACGGTTCGGATTATCAAAACAAAATCCGTGATAAGCCCTCACAGACCGAGCATCATCGTCCAGTCCGATTAAGGACTGGGAGGCAAGCTGCTCCCTCATTATTTATAGACCTTAGGGTCACTAAGAATTTGCTTAGTCGTTAATTTCAGAATCTCAAGATTTAGTTAAGATGTCTGTAAATTAGCCCAAACACTCAATAATCCAAAATAAAAAATAAAATGTAATAGCTTTATAATCTATTGAAATATCCCCAAATGCACGTCTTATATATAGAAGAATCCAAAAATAAAACCATATGCCTCAATATATACAAACATTTTTAGTGCCTTTTCGATTTAATTATACCACTATAGGATAATTACAATCGAGTCATTGAGATCCGTCAAGGTGGTGGATTTTGTAGCACATTGAAATCTCCCAAATGCACATCTATGCCATCTATATCTATACTACATATAATTACAAAACGTTAAAAGGTCTTTATGATTGAAAGTTTCAAACTATTTTTCACAAACTATATATAATTACAAAACGTTAAAGTTCCAAACTATTTTTCACAATTTTTTTTAATTTTTAAAATACAAAAATACATGTGTCAAAATATTATTGGCTCATCCTAAGTAGATATTATTTTGTTTTAAGTCACAATAAAAATTATTAAAAAATACAAACCCACAACTCTATACCAATTAAATATATATATATATATATAAACCCACAACAATCTTTATAAGTTAAATAAATTAAAAAATGTACACATATTTTCCTTCATTCTAATTTTTTTTTCCAATAAAACATTTCATTTTTTCCTACGTATATTGTTTTATTTTAAAGTTTTCACTTTTAAAATCTCCTTTATTATCTAAAACTCCTTTTGTCTCTTTTTATTTTCATTTTTTATTTGCTTAATCTTCTCCAATATCTTCATTTATGCCCAATTTCTTATTTTTCCCATTTTTTTGTTTTAAATTTTATCTCCAATCTTATCATTATCTCCAACGTCATCTTTATCATATTTTTCAAATGATCCTTCTTTTCTTTCTTCTTCTTTTTTTTTATTTTTTTATTTTTAATTTATCTTTAATATTATAATTATCTTCAATTTCATTTCTATCTTATTTTTCAAATGTTTCACATTTCAACTATATATTCTAAAATATCTACACCAGTGTGTTAAGATATACCTGATCTATTTAGATGACTTCGATGTGTAGCGCCATACAAGCCCTCCAACCAGATTGTTTACTGCATGAGAGGCCATTGGCACAACGAAAGTCGAGGATAAAATTGTTGCATAACCATAGACAAACCCAACAAATGTTGCCCTAAAAACATGACCAACAACAAATCACAACTATATCCCAAAAAAAATTCAACAATTTCAAATTATTCTGTGTCCCCTTCAAAATAATTGACTGGAATGCATATTCATGTGAAATTCAGAAGTTTAGTTGGCAAAATCGTGAAGTGTGAACAACATTACTGCATGGAGGAGGAGATGAATGCCTAAGAAATTTATTTACAGAAGGTAATATTTAATAATAATTTGTCCAACAGGTCAAGGAATGCGAGTACCAAAGTGCAAAGGAATACTTTCGGCCATTTCCCAAGTGCAAAACACCAAAAAGAGCGGCAACAAGCAAGGCACTTTTCCAATTCATTCCAAAAAGTGGCAACAATGCACCACGAAAAAGGAGTTCCTAAGCAACCATCATGTGCATTTAAGAACATAAAATCAGTTTGAAAGACAAATGGGGAAACAGAAGAAGTTATCAGTTCCTAGGCTCACCTCGCTAACCCCAGGTACAAATGCTACAATCATGTAATCCAAAGGTTGCAGTGAAGCAAGGACCTGAACTCAAAAACAAACACCACCTTGTTAGATTGGTAAAGCAGCAAAGATTCAATATAGACTCACAACAACCTATGAAGCACGGACATTTCTCCAAAGGTCACGCACCAATGTCCGACATGTGTCGGACATGGACAAGTGTCGAATATGCTAGAGGGAGTCGGAAATGCTGGGGACATGCAATATAAATATTTTCACCGGAATAACATACCAAGATTGATGAATTTGATGAAAATATATATTAACCTAGAATAATGCATAGTATTAAAAAAATATGACAAACAATAAATATATAAATTTAAACGTGTACTTATCCGTGTCGTGTCATCTGTCTGTGTCATCCATATTTTGATATAATTGATAGACAGAAAACAAGAGAAATAGGCAGAAAGAGGAGTGGAGCTACCTGCTGATTGGCTGCTTCACTAGACTCTGCAAAATCTGACCATGTCTTCAATAACAAGTATCGGCATGAAGATATCAGTATAACTAGTCCGGTAATCAACTGAAGATGCCATGTCTCAAAACTAACTGTACAGACATGTACACAAACATTAGCAAGTCTGTTTAAGAATTGAAAGAACTCATGCGAGTCACATAATAAGGAGGCAATTCTGCATACTCTTTCACCATTACACTAAATATAAGGTCATATTCTCAGACTCAGTTATAGATATCACCAATTGAGGACAAGAAATCAAATCTGATAACATCGCTTTATCATGTGCAATAGAGACCGACTATTGCATAGACATTGATGTTTGTATGAAGATTGGTGAATCAAGGCAAAGAATTGCCTTCTGGTTATGTAATATAAAAATAGGAAGGTGTTCCACATTAGATGCTCTGCAATAAAGTGAACATAGGTGAGCAATTTTAATTTTGATCTGAGCAATTTTTCAGAATTTATCTCCCTGAAATGGAATCTTGAATGGTTATGCAGATTTCAATTTGTTTCAACTGTAAGAGGTATTGCAAATTTGCATAGATGTAACAAAAAAAAAATGTTTATGTCATCTGCAGATGATGAAACTCAATACCAGTTACCTTGAAAAAATAAATACTAAGCTTTTCCTTTGCAACCATGAAATAAAATAAAAGTACGAGAATGGAAAAAACATACAGGATACTTCTGTAGAGCAGTCAAGGATCGGCAATCCTTCTGCTGATGCAACATGAGAAACCTGCAAGTTTTAATCAACAAATACACATAAAAATACACAACTGAATAGAGCAAAAATCTATCTACAAATAATTCATTCTGCTTACGTGGAATACAAGAATATAGCATCACTACGGAGGAACAATCACAAGTAGAACATAGAACTGGGCTAAAAAAGGAAAAAAGAAGCACAAGAAAAAGGAAAGATATACGAGAATACTACATGTTTGATTCGCAACACTATAAGATGCATTTGACAAACAAGAGTACAAAAGAAACAACAAATGACTTTTGTTACTCAGATGCTTGTGAAATAAAGAAGCCAAGACAAACCTGTCGAATTATCACACCCAAAGCAGCTATCAGACCAGAGGTCACAGTGCATGCTTGAAGAACAGTACTCCTTGACGGGATGGTAATTGAATTCTTTGCATCCAAATTCACAAAAGAGGACTCCTTATTGCTTTCTTGAACATCATCAACTCCGGGTGGAGACTCATCAGCCAGCGCATCATATTCATCTGACGAATTCCTATTAAGTGGCGGAGTTAAATTCTTTTGTGCTTCCTTTTGTCTTCTCAATTTCTTAACTGACCTCTGTTTTGCAAAAGCCCTTATCTGAGCTCCATATCCGTTCACAAAGAATTAATCTTAGAATACACAAAATATAATATGATGAAACAACTTGTATTTTGAGGGGAAGTTATGACATTGATAACTTACACTGCATATTCGGTCAGGTCTGAACTTCGAAGAATCATAAGGGCTACTAAACTTCCTACCTAATCAAATGTGACCACTTTGGTACAGTCAAAGCATGAAGCAACCTATAACAAACAATTATTAAATGCGGGCAATGATGCCCAACTAGCAAGAGGGTTTCCAAACTTGCTGGATAAAAAATTACTTACAATACAGGGCAACCACATATACGCTAACCTAAACAAAAGACCTAATTCTAGATAATCAAATCAAACCAACCAAGTCTTGTGTCATAAATGGGATCAGCTACATAAATCATTTTTCTTATTCTGTCAACAGCTATATACTCAATTAAATTACATGATTTTCATATCTATTTTTACTACCAATGCCTTAGTCCATATTCACATATTCATAAGGTACAGAATATTTATGTGCTTAGAGTCAGACAACCCTCACACACAATCCTCCTCTTTATCCGGGCTTATTAGGACTGGTCGTGTAAGATAAAACACTAAGGCCATGTTTGTTTGGGTGGTCAAGATTAGATAGGATTAGCATTCCTGGTACTGTTAGTTTTTGGATTATCAATCCCTGGATTGTGTAACTTATCCCATGTTTGGATTGACCTAGGATTATGGGATTGGATTGATCAAATCTTATCAATTTGCAATTTAACTAATTAATTCGAACCTCTCCTTAGTTTTCTATTTAGTCATGGCCCTAATTTTCTTAATCAAACATGAGATTATACATTTTGTTGAATTATTTATCCAATCCCAAGGCTGTCTGCCCAAACAAACTTCGCCTAAGCACTCACACACAACTCTCTCTTTATCCAAGGAAGGGACTCATTGTGTAAAATAAAAGACTAAGGACGACACATGTAGAGTTAGACCTAATTCTAGATATGACAAAATTCACTTTAATCCCCTGTGCGTTGCTCTACGTGTTATTTATACTTAACATTTGGAAATTGACACATAACCCAATACCAGACATGTGTTTCACATTTGCTGTTAACATTGATGAAATGTCTAGGGTCCCCTTCAATTCATAAATCACATAGGGTTACGTGGTTAAAGGGTGATCCGCACGTGAACCAACTCACAATGAGGTAAAGTGAAATTCACCCTTCTAGATGTAAACAATAATTATTGCAAGAACATGATGGGGGCATTATTAATGAAAAGAACCATAAGAGAACTTTCACAAGTTCCCAATTGCAATAACACACTTTCATCCTCAAAATTCATTATTATAAAAACTGGACAAGAAACCCAAAAAGATGGAGTGAAATGCAAAGAAGAGTGAGGAAACTAACAAGTGAAGAAAGAGGAATGTCCATGGCACAGGTAGGTTGAAGACAGATTGCTTGGTTCGATTGCCCACAAAGAGCTCATACTGAGCAAACCCATCACTACTGATGCACTTTGTTGCCTGCTTTCAAACCCAGAAAAGAAAATGAAGAAATGAAAACATCTTCGAAGAAAATGAATCCTCAAAAATTGATTCAGAAGACCAAACCTTTGTTACAATGTTGTGGAAGTTCTGAAAATATCGAAAGGAATGGAAATCAAAATCCCCAAGTTGAGGAGATGAAATTCAACAGGTATACAAGGGGGTTATAGTATATATTATCTCTCTCATCATCATCGTCTGATGACCCAAAAAACACTGGAAGACCAAGAGAAACGTTTTGTTCTACTGGACTCAAATCAATTGATTTGGCTTCCAACCCCTTTCTTATCAGTTAAATTACAAGTACACCCCCCTCAAATTTGATTAAATACGACTCGTGTCTTATAATTTTAGAAAATAAAAATATTTTCTTGTCATAATTTTTTATTTAATAAAATTAGCAGGAAAAAATAAAATTTTTAATTATTTTTCAATACAAAAATAAAATTACTTAAATTATTACTTGAAATACACTTTTGATATTATTAAAAATTATTAATTGACTTAATAATTTATTACTAAAAACATATTTGTTATGTAATTAGAAACTTAAAAAAAATGGGATGTAATTTCTAAGAGACACTATGGTGCACACCCTTCATATGCACTTTATAAGTTAAAAAAAAATGACACAATTTTAATTTTCTAAGTCATAACTAAAAATAGAAAAAAATATCATAACTAAATACAGCATAAAATATAACTAAAAAACCTCATGAGTGATAACTAAAATAATATCATAATTAAAAAAGAAAATTAGTTATAATTAAAGAAAAAATGACATAACTAGAGGTAAATATGATACACACTTTTTATATGCATGTATATTAGAATTTCTCAATTTCTAAAATAATAAGGAATAATCTATATGTTAAACAAATTTAAGAAGACGTATTTGTAATGTACATTCTTATTGAATTGTGTCTTTGTTAACCACTTGGCTGATTAAAGGGCAATTTGAGAAGGAGAAAATTAATGAAATACCCTCTCCAACTTTGAGCAGTAAGAAAGTCTAATATGTTTTTTTTTTTTTTTTATTAGCTAAGGTCATTCAATTAAATTTTTTTGTGATCATATCAGAGAAATTTCTCTGTGAAAATTAAATTTTCTATGTATCAAAATGAAATTTTTTTATAAAAATATTAAGGAATCTCAACTACTATTAAAATATTATAGATCATTTATTTTATAAAATTTTAATATCATTAACTTTAAAACAAATTTCCCTGATCACTGACACACACATGTAAATCTTACTTGATATTGGTAAACGAGTCCGGATCCTCGGCCGCCCAACCCAGCGGCCCTTCCAGTAGCGGCCCCAAAACGACGTCGTTTTGGGTCTAATTTTCCAAAAAAAAAAAAAACAGAACGAGCACTTTCTGTTCGTCTTCTTCTTTCTCTGAGCTAAATTGAATGGTTCAATTCTTAGGTGGGTTAACTGGACTTGAACATCAGCCAGATCTGTAGATTACACACAAAATTACCTCACTTTGAGATAGAAAATTCTCATCATACAAAAAATTCCAAATTGAACCTATTAAATCCAATGTAAAACTCATCAACATTCCGATCTTGAAACACGAAAAAAAACCCAAATCACATCCGAGATTGAAATTGAAAACCCAAAACCCAGTACAATTCATATAAAAATTATCTGACTTGAAACCCAAGATTTGCTTAAAAGAGTACATGTTTGTGTGTGTATGTATGTGATTACCTAGATATGGAAAAAGATGTCGGAGATCTGCTTCTTATTGTATGATTCTGGGTTTGAAATTATTCTGGGTTTGATGATGATAATGAAATTTGATTTTAGTTCTTGGGTTTGAAATTTTGGGTGGGTAAAAAAAAAGATGAAGCAGAGAAATTATTCTGGGATTGATGATGATGATTATTCTGGGTCGAAGGTGATGGAAGAGAAGGAAGTCTGCTGGGTTCATCATCAACAAAAAAAATAAAAAAATTTGTTCATCAACATCAACAAGGGTCTGCTGGGTTCATCAACATCAACAAAAAAAAAATAAAAAAAATTTGTTCATCAACATCAAAATTTTGCAGATCCAGATCACCATCATCTTCAATCCAAATCAACATCATCAACATTTTTTTCCTTCATCTTCAGATTTTGAACATCATCATCATCTTCAACATCATCCTCAGCTTCATCAACAATCAAATCCAGCTCCGATCGGCGATGCAAAACAGAGGCACCCAGCAGACCTTCCTCTTCTTCTCTTCTTCTTCTTTTTCTCCATCTATAGATATAAAGATATATATATATATAAATTTTTTTTTTGTTGTTGTTGATGTTGATGATCTGGATCTGCAGAACCTTGTTGATCTTGATCTTGATGATGATGATTTTTTTTTTGTTGATGTTGATAAACCCAGTGCAGCTCCTTCTTCCTTATTTTCATCTTTACAAAGAAAGAAGGTACCACACACATTTAGGAGAGTGGGGTGCTTTGCATAGCTACATTCTGAATCTGTGAAATATAGTGTAGTATGTTTCAGTCGAAGCCTGTAAATCTTTGTTTTGTTTTCAAACTCAAAAATTATTTCAGATTTCTATTGTTTTGGTAAAAAAAAAATTCCAAATTTCTTTACAAATATTTTTAATGTTTAAATACATCTAAATTTGTCTCTGAAAATTTTCAAAAATTGAAATTACTCCCAAGAAATGATATCAGAAGAGGGACGAAGAATGCTGGTCTGGTCAACATTTATATATATATCTCACATTTAAAAAAAAAAAAAAACAATTCTACACTTGAAGTTTACAGATTCAGGAAGAAGAAAACCAGGAAGAAGAAGAAGAATAAGAAAGAAGAAGAGGAAAAAGAAAAGACCAGCAAAATCTTTATGTATATGTGCAACATCAATAGATACAGAGAGAGAAAGAAAGAACGAAGAAGAAAAGAGAAAAAAAAACAAAAAAAAAAAAAACAAAACAAAAACCCCCCAAAACGACGTCGTTTTGGGGGGCTGCTGGGAAGGGCTGCCGGGTAGGGCGGCTGGGGATCCGAACTCATTGGTAAACACCCCCTCCCCCCAAAAAAAAAAGTGTAGATGAAAAATAGGGCTCAAATTTACGAAATGCAGGAATTTTATAGGTGTAACTTTTTAGAAAAATTACTATTCACTGTATTTTTCAAAAAAAATTATAAATTTATTTTTAAAAAATATGATTTTAATTATTAATATTTAGGTCCGTTTTTCAAAAAGTTCGATTTTTAATTATTTTGTTTCATTTAACTCATTTTCGTTTTTAATAGTTCAAATTAGGACCTGTTTAGAGTAACATGACCAAATCATTATTCTAACTTTTTGTGTATGTTTCTATTTTGAAACCAATACACAATAAAAAAAAAAATAACAACAATCCCTCATACTCTAAATGAAATTTATAAATAAATCTTTGTATTTATGAAGTTTATTATTGATATGTAATTAATTTTATAAAAATCTAATCTGAGTAATTTCTCCTAACTTTTTAGTGTATTTTTCATGCCACCTATTCTTAAATCATTTTGTTCTTCAATGTTGAATTGTTATTCTCTTTAAAAAAGAAAAAAAAAATGTGGATAATGAAAATGCAATGGATAAACGAAGTGAAACCACAAAAAATGAAGACGGAAATGAAAATAAAGAGGACAAAAACATAATCCAGCAATCCCAATTGTTATCTCTTGTCTATGTACACTTGCACGCAGAATAAACAATGAATTAAGGAATGTCTGGAAATTAAATATTTTAGTTAAAAAGTTCAAAAATTATTACAAATTATTAAACTATTCTCTTTAATTTTTTTTACATGTCTTTTTAAAAAAAAAAAAAAAAAAATCAATTCTTAAATGAGCTCTATGGTTCTACAAAAATGGAAAGCAAACCCTCATTAAAATCCATTCAACAACCAACGTTGTTGAAATAGCTGACGGTCTAACCTTTCTAGAAGTGATGGCACCAGCACATGCACATGCGCTGATCATTTGGTTTTTTTTTTTTTTTAAATTATAAATTGTATGATTGGATTCAAGATCTGAAATTATAATAAATTTACAAAAATTAGCAGCTGAGAAATTCAAAAAAAAAGAAGCTCCGAATTTAAGACATAATTAACGTATGTAAGTGCTGAACATTTTGAAAAAATTCAAAAAATAAGATGTCAGTCCCAACTCTAAGCTTCAAATGTATAATAATATAGATAGATAATAGTGTAGATGATTTTAGAAAATATTAAATATGCTAAAAAGCAGGCATGTGCATAAACAATCCATCCATTTGAGCAGAAACAAAAAAAAAAAAAAGAAAAAAAAGAGGGGCTATGTACAGACCTTTGCATTCTAATTTACACTCAAAACAAAATCAACATAACATGAGGGACAATAAGTTACAACATACATATAAACAAGAATAATGATACTGTTGGTTTTTTTGGCTTTCGAACGTTATTATTATAATTGCGAGTGTGTCAGCAAAGATCAATCAGTCTTTACAGAGAATTAATTGTCAATCAATTATCAGACGATTGTGTTTTAGTTCTTTCAGCCTCAATGAAGAGGACTTTTACTGATCGCTTGATTTAGGAGAATTAAACAAGATAACAATTGAACGAAGAACTATTGAAGCATTTCATTGAAAATGAAAAACTTACAATAATTCCAAACTCAGCCTCGTAGAGGTTTACAGCAACAATCCACTACTTGAAACTACTCCTATGAACGAAATGCAATGCAGGAATTGAAAGTACAGGAATGTAAGGAACAGGAAATGTAAGATTGGAAATATAAAACTAGAAAGGAAAATAAGTATAATAAGACTGGTTTTTTTTTATCTGAGTTTGGGGCTTTTTCTGGGGCCTTCTCCGCTATTTACACTTCTCAAGGATGACCATCGAACTGTGTTTCCAACTGTCGAACTGCTCCTCCATGATCGCTGATCATGTTGCCTTGTAATTAGCCCACTATGCCATCACTTGCAGTTAGACTTCCCTCATAAATTTGAATTTAAATGTGAGTCACCGTTGAAGCCACATCACCTTGCCTATCTTTGTTGATCCACTGCTACTCAGACCTCGTAATAACCAATACTAACTGCCACGTGTACGATCAGGATCGAAGACTTGACTAGCCTTCCTGTATTACCCTTATTCTGCCACGCGTCGAATTGCAATTGGCTTGTACAAAATATATAGCCGACATTACCCCCCGCACTAATATACCCAATACTTGGTGATATTAGTGGATCAA